CTATTAAACCCATATTTAAGATTTGATTGCAGTGCTCGCCGAAACAAAGATGAACACAACCAGGCTAACGATGATACTAAATGGGGCTAAGCAACAGGAAGTTTCAACTGCAAATTGAAACCCATCAATGGGCTTTGCAGCCGTCAAACTAACGTCGGACGACCAAGAATTGGCTATCCGCAGGTAACTTCACCCAGGCAGGACCGTCAGACCCCCCCCCCCTTTTCAGCACCTCACGCCATTCAGAACTGCTGTAAAACTGCTGTTACAATTGCTGGATGAAAAAATCAGCATAAAAGAGCATAAATTGTTCGCAAGAGACTGAGAGGAGCTGGTATTTGTGAATGACATCCATACATTGGAAATCCAGTTGCGCTTAGATGTTGCAAAGAACATATGGGTGTTTTATACGGTATGCCTTTAGAATTTGGAGGCGTTGTGGCAACGCACTTTGAAAAAATTACGCACTTTGAAAAAAATTTTCAAAGTGCGTTAAAATTGGGCCAAAATCAACGCGCTTTGAAAAAATTTTTCAAAGTGCGTTAAATTTGGGACCAACTCAACGCACTTTGAAAAATTTTTTCAAAGTGCGTCAAGAGTCTACATCAATATATTTTACCATGGAGACACTTAACGCACTTTGAAAAAAAATCATGTTTTAGTCATGGAAAGATTTTATTTGTTATTTATCTTTCAAAAAACTAAGCCTAACCCTAACCTCAAAAATGAATTGATTTACTCCCGTCGAAAAGAGGAGAAGACGGGTATAAGATCCCTCAGTCCAAATCTTTATCTATCCAATACATAGGTGTCGGTAACAAACGGGGGAGGTGAGCAATAAACCTAAAAAGGGTACGCTGCATTTTCAATGCTTATACGATGTATACATGTATATCTTTCCAAAATAAGTGGGGGGGGGGCTTAGCCCCCCATCCCCTCCCCTGGCCCTTCGCTCAGTCTCGATGTCTTCATAATGCTATACTCAAAGCATTCATATAATTATGTATTTACCTAACTGGTATGACGTAGAAACCTTTCAATAATAAATGAGTTAATTAAAACAGATGAAAACTAGAAGTTTTTAATTACAATAAAACGTTTGAGAGAGAAAGAATTTTCATAGTTTTGAACAATCAAATTGGCCCCTTTTTATTATGATAAATGCTAAGTTGCTTGAAGCTTTCCTCTATTAATGCCCCCTATGCACCTTTACATCTACTTATCAAAGACTAAAATTTAAAAAAAAAAAAAGAAGAAAGAAACGAATTAATGAACTTAAACAATCGTCACTCTTTTTTCAAGACCCTTTAATTTTCCCTTTTATTTTATCAAAACCTTAAATATTTAAAACGTCAGTATCTCAGGTCCTATACCAACTTTATCATAAAAAAGTTATCAAACCAGGATCTGTTATTTATCATACCGATTATTTGAAGGAATATTGATCAATCTTCACATTTTTTTCAAAGTGCGTTAATATGGTCGATATTAACGCACTTTGAAAAAAAAATATTTTTTTCAAAGTGCGTTAGCTTGGTCCCAAATTTTAACGCACTTTGAAAAAAATTTTCAAAGTGCGTAATTTTTCAAAGTGCGTTGTAACAAGGCGTCGACAATGACATAAACTTCACTTTTCTACTCGCAACACGGGACATAATTGATTTGATTAATTGAGGAGTAAACTGAAAACTAAGACAACGTATCATGTTTAATCTGAATATGCGTTTCTTTTTTTTTTGTTGAGTATATATCCAAAAGAATGGCATAAATGACTTTATGTAACCATAGCATTGATGAAGAAAGTGAAGAAATTGACTTATTTTCAAATTTCTTTAGAGTTCAGGCATTCGTTACATGTGAATAAGATCCGATATCTGTACCAGTTCTGGTAACATATATCACTGAAAATTATATGTGTTATTTATAAAAACGCCGTATGTATTATATATTTTGATTCAAGGTCGCGTTTTTAAAAAAATGTATTTAAAAAATTGTAATAATTCTTCACAAGCACTTCAAAAAATATTAAAATAAACCATTGCTTGTGTATTCACATCTCATAAACAAAATTTTCATCATATTTATGAGAAATATAAAGCTTTGGAATCCAACAAAAAGCTCCACGGTCTGGTACAGGTAGTAAATCAAAAGTTCTACGTAATCTGTTTAGTTTTAGAACTATTGTAAACTATTGCTATTACTTAAGTGACAATGTATGAGAATAAGCAAAATAAGAGCAAAATGCATAACAAGATTAAAAAAAGTGAAAATTTATTAGGTAACTGATTAATATTTTGTGGTTTTAGCATGAGGAGACTTTTAACAATATTGTCTATATTTTGAGGGTTCATTGTTATTACTATAACTGCATTTTACAAGAACATTGATTTTTCGTATGGAAATCGAAACTATATGAATGAAAATAAATATTTTGCATTATTCATCGTATTTATATATTTATCGGTGGATCTTAATATAGAAACTAAACATATTGATTATGGCACAAGCATTTTAAAAATTAAAGTAGGAAGAACTTGCAATATAGAGTATACATGTATACTATTAGATAACTCAATAACTTGAATTTAAAACTTCATTCAACATTGAACAAGTTCTAGCTTTTAAATCGGCATTAGTTTTGTGCATCAAGGCTAAAAAAATTATTGTACCATCAGATCAATTTTCTAATGATAGATTTCTTTCGTATAAGTCCAGAACAGAGATCATGTCTCAGTCAATATGGGTTACATGTATCAAAAGAGCCCGACCTTTTTCAGCTCACCTGACCCGATGGCTCAAGTGAGCTTTTCTGATCAAAATTTGTCCGTCGTCTGTCGTTGTTGTCGTCGTTGTCGTCGTAAACTTTTCATATTTTCATCTTCTTCTCAAGAACCACTGGGCCAATTTCAACCAAACTTTCTACAAAGTATCCTTGCGTAAAGGGAACCAAACTTACTACAAAGTATCCTTGGATAAAGATAAGCTTTATTTTAAAGTCAGTATGGTAGTTAAATGATAACACAAGCTCTAATGAGCTTTTGACTGGCATGTTTAACATATACATAACATTAAAACAATGAAAACATGCAGCACTATATAAACATAGAAGTACTTGCAACAATATAGCACACAGTCTAATTTAAAGGACATCATCAGTTAAAGATACATATACATGTAAAAACACACATGTACAGACACATAAACAATACAGCACAGGGTAAAGGGGATTCAAGTTTGTTCAAATGAAGGGCCATGCCCTTTTTTATTATCTAGCTAATTATAAATTAGAGAAAAATTAATTGCATTTTAAAAAAATTTTCTTCTCAAGAACCACTGGTCAAGGAAAGATGAAACTCATATGGAATCATCCTCAGGTAGTGTAGATTCAAGTTTTTTTTTCAAATCATGACCCCCGAGGGTAGGGTGGGGCCAAAATGGCCGATCAAAGCTTTAAATAGGAATATATAGGAAAAATCTTTAAAAATATTCTTCTCAAAAACCACTAGGCCAAGAAAGATGAAACTCATGTGGAATCATCCTCAGGTAATGTAGATTCAAGTTTGTTCAAATCATGTCCCCCAGGGGTAGGGTGGGGCCAAAATGGGTATTCAAATCTTTACATTTGAATATATAGGAAAAATCTTTTTAAAAAATCTTCTTCTCAAGAACCACTGGGCCATGAAAGATGAAACTCATGTGGAATCGTCCTCAGGTAGTGTAGATTCAAGTTTGTTCAAATCATGACCGCCGGGGGTAGGGTGGGATCCAAATGACTGATCAAAGCTTTACATAGGAATATATAGGAATAATCTTATAAAATCTTCTTAAGAACCACTGGGCCATGAAAGATGAAACGCTTGTGGAATCATCCTCAGAAGTGTAGATTCAAGTTTGTTCAAATCATGACCCACGGGGGTAGGGCGTGGCCAAAATGGCCGATCAAAGTTTTACATGGGAATATATAGGAAAACTCTGTAAAAATCTTCTTTTCGAGAACCACTGGGCCAAGAAAGATAAAACTCATGTGGAATCATCCTCAGGTAGTGAAGATTCAAGTTTGTTCAAATCATGACCGCCGAAGGTAGGGCGGGGCCAAAATGGGCGATCAAAGTTTTACATAGGAATATATAAGAAAAATCTTTTAAAATCTTCTTTTCAAGTACATATACTTCAAAGCCATGATTAGTAATATTTATATGGAATCATCCTCAGGTGGTGTAGATTCAAGTTTGTTCAAATCATGATCCCAAAGGGGGTTAAAATTCAAGCCCCCCCCCTCATCTCAGTAAACTTTCAGTTCTGATCTGATATGTGCTTTTTTCAGGCCGATGTGCTCAGGTGAGCGCTGTGGCCCCTGGGTCCTTGTTGAATTAAAAAACTATAGGCTAACTGTGGGCTTATCGGATATAAAATTTAATAATTGGTTCAAAACACATGCATATGGTCCACGTATTGCAGTCCTTTTTTAAAGGACAACAACTTGTTTAGCATTTTTATAAAGTTGCTTTGTCAAACTAAATGATATCAATACAAACAATCATGTGCAAGTGCAGGTATCTAAATCATGTGATCTGAAAGTGGGTCAAAATCTACAACCAAGACCAGGAAGTTGATTGTTAGTCTCTATATGTAGCTAAGACGGCCATCTTGTAATAACAGATGAGACACTACAATTATTTTATGCTTCTCGGAGTTGGTGTGATATTCAATAATAATTGTTTCTTTTTAAAGATCTCAGAAATATATTTTTTTCTTCTTATAATAAAAATACCATACAATTTATAAATGTCTTGAAATGCTGATTAAGTGAAGCAATGAAGGACTTTCTACATAATAATCATGTATTAATAATCCCTTCCTTTCAACACATACTAATTCATCTTGAATTTGAGTATATTTTTAAATCTGTCCATCAACATGTTCAATGTCTTTATCAAGTCAGAGTAATAATTAATACACTATATTACAGCACCGCCTTCATCATGTGACAGACCCCTATAATGGACTCCTCGGACAGAGCTCAAGTTCTCCTCCTCTGTGACCTGTGTCAAAGAGCAGTATTACAGAGTCATTGTGAACTTTGTCAGATTAACCTGTGTAATGTATGTGTAGGGGAGCATCTGTCCGATTCATCTATAAGACATAAAGTTGTACCATACAAACACAGAACTTCTAGTCCTAGCATTAACTACCCAAAATGCCCAAACCACATCCAGAAACATTGTGAACTTCACTGTGGGAATTGTGACATTCCTGTCTGTTCTACCTGCATCTCCTCTGATAAACACCATGGGCATAAATTAACAGATATCTTACAGAATACCAGCTTCATTAAAGAAATTTTCAACAATGATCTGAAAGAACTAGAAAAAAGAATATATCGTACCTATGAAGACATTAGATCAAATTTAAACTCTGAAATGGTCAACTTAGAAAAACATTATGAGAAACTGACAACAGTTGTCACAAAAGAAGGAGAAAACTGGCACAGAGAAATTAACATCATTGTCAACAAACAGAAATCTGAAATTGATGAGATGAAATCTAAACACTTGACTGCTCTAAATAAACAGGAAAATGAAATCAAAAAGATTACATCTGATGTAAAACACTGTATACTTGATCTGAAGAAAATACTGGACTCCAATGATGTCTCCCTTACCTCTGCATACAAATCAAGGAATGTTGAATTCAGAAGTTTACCTCCAAAAATCACTGTATCATTTCCAAGTTTCTCTCCTCGTCAGATCAACACAGAACAACTCCATCAAATGTTTTTAGGAACAGAGCAAGCACAGACCTCCAAAACATCAGATGTGAGATCATATAACAGGTGCATCAACTGACAATCATATTACCTGCGTGGTGATATGCCACTCCGTACGGCACGGTCTTCCCCAGGGTAGAGTCTAACCCCACAGGATAAATCAGTGAGGGTCTGTTCAGGGGTAAAAGGGTGGGATAGTCTGTCTCAGGACCTGACAATGTATAGAATTCATCATAGAGTAAAGTATGCAGTGATTGGGAAGGGCTTGCGCCACGCGCCATAGTTGCACTGAAGTGAAAAACGGCGCATTGAATCAATCAATCATGGCGCCAAGGTGCGCATTCAATTTTTAGCGATGTTATATGGAAATATTTTGCGTACGACTTTCTTTCTTGTTTTACTTTCGTTTTAAATGCAGTAAATTTAAAACAACAAATCTCCTTGGTTGAAACCTGTCAAAAAGTACTTCCGGTTAAACGAAGCACTTACATGTATGAGATACAATACTTCACTCA